ACATACACACAATCACATACTCTTGAGTAGTATAAAACTGGCAGTCATAGGCTCCTTTATTTGAATTTGTGATCCCCAGTTGATACATTTGTTTGAGAAGGATTGGGAGGTGTGGGTTTGTTGGAAGAGTTTTGTCACTGAGGGCAGACTTTGAGGTTTCCAAAGACTTATACAATTCCCGGTACTCCCTCTGTCTCTCTGTCTCTGTCTCTCTGTCTGTCTGTCTGTCTCTCTCTCTGCCTCATGATTGTAGATCAAGATGTCAAGATGTGAGCTCTCACTTGTTCTTTGCTCTACCATTATAGACTCTAACCCCCCAAAGCCATAAGACAATTAAATGCTTTATAAGTTGCTTTGAAGTTGATACCAGTGAGTGGGATATTGCTCTGACAGATCTGACCATACTGTATTTTGGAGAAATGTGGATGACTTTGGGACTTTGGACTAGAAAAGTAGTTGAACACTATAAATTTGGCTTAGTGGGCTATTCTAGCAAAAGACAACAGTGTAGAGAGCAATGTGCCCAGATCAAAAGTTTTCAGAGGGAAACAGTAAAAGCAACTGGGCTAGACATCATTTTCATGATGTATTGACAAAGTACAGGTTTCTTTCTGCTCTTGTCCTAAAATTTTACTGGAGCTAAATTGAAAAAGTAATGGACTAATTTCTTTGGGGGAGGAGCTTTCAAGAGGACCTAATATTGGCACTGTTACATGGTTATTAGTAACCACTCTTCTGCAGGTCTACAATGAAAGAGAGCAAGTGTGTGTGTGTTGAGGGAGAAAAAAGAAATAAAAAATGTACAGTTTGAGGGGAAAAAAAGAGTACCTCAAAGGTAACATTGGAGACAGGGTTTATGCTGAAAGAGATAAATGGGTAAAGAAGAGGCTGGGTCCTCATGGAATAAAGGGAAAGGTACCCTCAGGCAAGACTACACACACTTAAGATCCCATCTTGTGAAAGGAAAAGGTTTAAGTCATTTTCTGCTCCTAAAACAACAAATGAAAGCTGTCAGAAATGTTACTCAAGGCCGTCAGGCTCCACCCCAAGTGAACAGCAAAACATGACAGTGTCATCCATGAGGTTTCTGTTTTAGAGCCAGGAAGGAGGAGTTGCAGGATCTTCTCTACAGTTAAAGAGTGAAGCTGAGCGTGTGGTAAAATACTCTGCATGAAGGTCCTGAGAGGGCAAAAGGCCCTGAAAGGCCCTTGCATGAAGCTGTGAAAGTGAAACTGTATTGTATTAGAGGACTTGATATGTTGGAAATGCAAGATCTATGATAAGATGTCAAGAAATGCCGTACTAAGATAGTGGAACCAGCACAAGAGAGATGGGTATTATGAAGGCGGCAAAGTCTGGCTAAGCCATCTCATCAGACACAGAACTACAAAATTCTGAGTTTTCCCTGCTGGGTTTCAGTCTTGCTTTCTTCCAGTATTTTCTCACTGTGCCCCCAATCCTCTTTTCTGGATTGGTAATGTATATCCTATACCCTTGTATGTTGGAAGTTTATAATTTGCCTTTTGCTTTTATAAGGATACAATTAAGAGATTGTCTTGAGTCTTAATAAGAGGCTTTGAAATTTTAGTCAGTCTTGAGAATAAAATATTATGGAAAATTTTGAAATCAGACTAAATGTATTTTGCATTGTGATGTGGCCATATTACTAAGAGTTTCAGGAAGTAGTGTGGTAGTGTGAATGATAATGTCACCCACAGGCTTATATGTTTGAATACGTGGTCTCCAATTAAAGCCACTATTTAGAAAGGTTAGCATGTGTGACCCTGATGGAGGATATGTATCACTGTTGGTGGGCTTTGGGCACCAATCCCAGTGCACCTTTCTCTACCTTGTGCTTGTGGTTCAATATGTGAGTTCTCAGCTGCTTCATTCATCATGCTTTTGCTCGGCAATTGTGTACTCTCTCTCTCTCTGAAATAGTAAACCTAATTAAACATTTTCTTTTATAAATTGCCTTGGTCATGGTATTTTATCACAACATTAGAAAAGTAGCTACAACACCCACCCATTGAGCATAAAATCAAGTAGATTTTCATGTGAAAATAAAGAAAGACAATATATCATTGTAATTCAAGTTCAACAAAGCTAACAAAGAAATGGCAGCATGTAGTGAGAATAATTAAACTGGGGTTTCAAAAGATTGAAACTTATTCCAAGCTTACCCATTTCTTCCCCATATCTTCAGCCAGCTATACACCAGTTCTAATGATCGTTTTCTTTGGTATAAAATTAACCAGTATGACTTGTTAGTAGGTAATAGAGATAATCTATGTAATTATGCTCTGAATGGTGACTGGTCTATGGCAGGAACTCAATAAATGCTAATCATGATTAGTAAAAGAAAACAGTATGGGTGTATAGAGAGTGAAAAGTATTGCCATGGTGCTTAGTCAGTATTCTATTGCTGTGAAGAGACACCATGTCTACGGAAACTCTTATAAAGGAAATCTTTTAACTGAGACTTGCTTAAAGTTCAGAGGTTTAGTCCATTGTCATCATGACAGGAAGCATGGTGGTATATAGACAGATATGTGCTAAAGAAGTAGCCTGAGAGTTCTACATTTGAATCTATAGGCAGTAGGAGAGAAGAGAGGAGACAATGGTCTGGGTTTGAGCATTTGAAACCCCAAAGCCTACCCACAGTGACATACTTTCTCCAACAAGGCACATCTCCTAGTCCTACTCCCTAATAACCAAGCATTCACATTTATGAGCCTATGGGGGCCATTCTTTCTCAAGCCACCAAATTTGCTCCCTGGTCCCCAGTAGGCTAATAGAAATAATGAAAAAATTGTTTTCAGTCCAACTTCAAAAGTCCCCATAGTCTATCATAGTTTAACCACTGTTTAAAAGTCCAAAATCTAAAGTACCATCTGAGGATGAGGATAATCCTTTAACTGTAACCCTCTGTGAAATCAAAATAAAAAAGTGGATTGCATACTTCTAACATACAATGGCACAGAATATATATTACCATTCCAAGTAGACTAGCTCCTGAACAAGGTACAAAGATAAGAGGCAAAACCAAATGCTTTTCCTTGAGTCACCCTTCTGTGTGGAATATCTTCTCTGAGTATATATTTGTCTGCATCTAAAATCTTCCTCTCCTTTCTCTTATGAAAATATTAGTCACCATTTTAAGTTGATTGTAATGAAATTTCAACCTCATCTTAATTATATCAGCAAGAATTATTTACAAACAAGGTTCTAGTTATAGGTACTGGAATAAGAGGACTTGAACAATTTGACCCATAAAATACAGTATCTACAAATTTGAAAAATGTTATGATATGAGGACCCAGAAAATGATCTCTCAAATTTCACTATTTATTTATGAGTTTTTAAAGCAGTCTCTGTAGCTCAGACTGGCCTCAAAGTTCCTTTGTATTTGAGAATGATCTTGAACTTCTGGCCCTTTCATCTCTATTTCCCAAGTGCTGAGATTATAGTCATGTACCATTTTACTTGGTTTTAGCTTATATTAAGATCTAACCTAGGGCTTTCTATATGCTAGGCAAACTACCAACTAAGCTGTATTCCCAGTCCTTCTTTTTTTTTTTTTCTAGTCAAAGTGATAAAGAAGGAAGAATTTTCTATGATTTTTGGGTTTGGTCAGCAACAATCATTGAACATGTCAGTCATGAGCAGACTTCTATTGTTTCATGGGGTCAGACTGTTACTGTTTCTGACATTTAGTCAGTATGGATCTCATCTGGAGAAAGAAGCCTATCTCTAGGCAGAATATTGATAGGGAAAGAAAAGACTCTGGAGCCAAATTGAATATTAATCTCCTTTTATATAATTGTGACTTCATTTCCTTATCTGTAAAATGAGCATGGATGGACTGACAATATAACAATAAATTTTCTTATCCCAGTATTTAGTAAATACATAAACACTTGATCAATAACTAGTGTTATAGTAATAGTTCCTCTTCCCCTGTTCAATAACAGTTATTTCTGATCACTGTTTCTTTCTTAGACTCTTAGCTTCTGAGATTCTGATTTTCATCTATTGTGTTGATATATGTCATTGATATGTTAATTTTAATTGTCCTTAGGTCTTGGTCCAAAGAGAGTAAGAGGAAACAGATCTCTTAACCCATTGGCTACTCCATAGCCAACACAGTATTTTCTGTTTCCTATTTTGCCTCAGAACTATTTTACAAGTAAAATAACTGTAAATCATGAGATATATTTTAGAAACCTGTGGATCAAATATTATTGATAATAAATTCTAGGGGACATTAGAAACATAGTTGTTGGACTGGAGACATGGATAGGTGGTTAAGGGCATGAACTGTTCTTCCTGAAGACTCAAATTCTATTCTAAGCACTCATACTAGGTGGCTCCCAGCTGCCTGTCTGTCACTCTAGCCTCAAGAGATCCAAAACCTCTGTCTCCCGAGGGTACCCAGAGTCATATGCACATATCCCTAACACACACACACACACACACACACACAATATTGAAAATGATAAAATTGTCTTTTTTTAAAGCCACATTTGTAATCAATGTGACTTGAAAATCTCAGCCATAGCTAAAAGTCTTTTCCCGAATAGATTTTTAAATAAGCAAGCACTGTGTAGACTGAATGATTCAACCAGCTTCACATTGAACTATTTTGTTGATATTTCTTTTTCCTAACTGAGTAATTTTTGAATGATTCATAAACACTTAGAAAATTCAGGAGATGGTGCCACTGATGCAGTAAAGCCTTGGTTAGCTCAGTAGGCTCTGCTCCTGAAGGGCAGAGCATACATATCATTTATTCACATTCTTTCTAGGTGTCTTTCAGGTACAAAAGCGATAATAAACATATTTGGTAAATGAATAACTAAATAACTAAGTGTTGACTTAATTAGATCAACTCAGAAAAATGCACATGAGGCTCTATTGCAAATATGTTTATTCATAAACATTCACCAAAATATTTTATTCATTCTCAATACGAAAGCAGATTTAGGGCCTCACAAGACTGGAATGCACTCAGTGAGTCATTTGGGTATTTGCAGGCCAATCAAGATAATATTACTTCTAATTGGTATTCCTAAAAGTGGTTAATTTTTCCCCTATGCTTGACTTGTAAGCACTCAGGTGCAAAATTCGTTCTTGTCTTTAAGAACAGCTTAGTAATTAGTCCCCTTCTGAATCTTGGAACCAGAGTCTCCCACTGATGAGTAAAAATGAGGAAGAAGCATTTCAGCACACATGGGCACAGGCTTGTCGAGATGAAGATTTATTAGATCCAGCCAGCCAAGTGATCACTAGAAGCAAATAATCAAAAGAATGAATTTCCAGGGTGGGTTCAGCAAGTATTTCTGTTGTTCAGTAAACATACCCGACTCCAGTCTACTACTACACAGCGGGTCCAGTAGAGAGGGGACAGTGTATTTGCTAGCCCAGATCTTGCTTGAAGATGTTGACCTTGAAAACACTATGACTTTGGTGATCAATTTTTTTGTTTATAAATGGCTATAAACTTTGTGTTGCTCGGTTGAGGTCTTTGGGATTTGTTTGGCTGCCAGCTCTAGCTGCTGTTTGAAAAGAGCAGCACCATATGCAGCACATGCATATTCAGTGGTGTAGTTCTTCCTGTGGGAAGGGGGGTGCCAGGGCTCAAGGCTCACAATGTGAATTTGCATCCCACTTTGCATAAATTTGCATGCAGACTTCATAAGCCTCTAATTTCAAGTATGTAAAATGAAACGAATCAATGCAATCTACTGCAATTGTTTTCCAAGGCATTAATCACATGAAATACATCCCAGCTTTCCTTAACCAATTAATTTAATCACACCCAAGGTTAGCAGAGACAGGAAAGTAATGAATAATGGGTGCTAAGTGTCTGACCTAAGGTTGGAAGGATATATATATATATATATCTCCAGTCTCTGTACTTCTCCAGTATGTCTTTCTACCAATCCTCACACCTCTGTGGAAGATATATTAACGTTTTAAAAATATTGCATTTTGTTCCACTATCTCTAAAGAATTATACATCTCTATTTCATGGAATTTAAAAGAGGCAATGTGACTTATTCTGACAAATGAACTGTGAGCAGAAGTGATATAAGTCCCATTGAAACAGAAGCTTTAAGAGCTAACACAAGGTGCAGTGTGCCATTGCCTTGTTTCACAATATAAGCAATAGTCTGTATTGAGACTACAACACTTCTTTGGATCCAGGTGGAGACTAAGAAAAGAAGACTTATACATATCTTCACGAGGGTTGTGCAGCAGAAGAAAGACACATAGCCATGTGGCATATGTTGGCATGTTCTCTGCTACAACATAATTAAAGTTTGGTAAATCATAATGGATGTATGGTTTGAATGAGTAGAAGGAGATATAATTTTGTATCAAATGTATTGTTTCAAAAGCTTTGCTTATGTTAACAACACTGAGGTAGAAGGAAATGTATTGTACAATGTATTCTATGTTGCTAACAAATATATGTAGTTGGGGAAACAATGCACCTGTTCAGGCTCATTACACATTTCCATGTAGAAGACCAATAAAGTAGATATTTATATTCCATATTTGAGTAACATAGGCTAGACTATTTAAATTTCTTTATATTGGCAAATCCATCAAACTTTGTTCAATTATTGAGACGGAAATCATTTTTTGTCTTTGTGAAACTTTGAAGTTCTTCATATCACATCATGAAATAAAACTCAATTATTACTTTTTAAAATCTTTGTTTAGTACCTTTCAATTCACTGTTAAATTAAAAGGGCTACCCAATGAACACTCAAATGATGAAACCTTAAATCCTGAATCTGAAAAATGAGAGGTTTTTACTATTTTAAAAATGTAAAAAGGTGAATGATTAAAAAACAATACAGAAATATAGATGATAGAAATTCAAGGTACATTTTTTTTCTTTGAACCAATCAATCCTAGTGGCTTTGCTTTTGTCTCACAGTGCTGTCCTACAAGTTCCAAATGTGGAACAATATGTCACTGACCTTAAGAAAGCAGAAAGTCAAGCAAAGAACAATGATACTGATTTATTTTTATTCCCATATAAATTCTCAAAAGGGAAGGGCCATCAATCACAAATACGTAGCTTCTCATTCTTTCTCCAAGCACACACAACTGGTTTATCAGTAATCACTATATAATTAGTAATTTCAAAGTTGCTTTGAAACTTCCACAGACCTATTAAAAATTAGTTTTCTTTCTTAGAGAAAGAAGTAATACAGAATTTTCTACTATGTGAAATGAACCTCAAGGAAAGAAGATAAATATGCAGTGACAAACCATGAGGAAAACAAAATGGAGTGATTGCTTACCAAAAGAGTGGGGGTTTAATTTACTTCTTCCAGTGGCTCAGAAGCACACTTGCATCTCTGATCATATTTGAGTATGAACTCTTCTAGAAGAGTGATAGCTCCCGAGTGTCTTTAGATATGGAAACTTTAAGATGATGCTTCTTACCTACTTTAATGGTTATGAAAACCATTTGGAGGACTCCTGATTCCAGAAGTTTCAGAAATAGTGAAAAAAAAGCATTTAATTTTTAAAACTGGCATGAGTCCTAAAATAATAATGTTTGTTAATTTATAAATGGCTGAGAGTATAGCTCAGGAGTAGGCTGCTTAATTAGCATGAAAATTATTCCTTGGGTTTAGGAATTAAAATCACAGAAGGGGTGAAAAAGTGCAATGGAGTCTTTTAGAATTAATGTTTTTAAATGTCTTAAAATGTTTTAATGTCTTTAAAAAATCTAGATTAGATTTTGTTTCTAGATTGTTTGGTCATAGAATTAAGTACATTCTCTTTATAAAAGTAATTCCTGAGAATATTCCAGGAATTCTGTGGTCCTACAATGTTCCTTCAGGAAAAGGCAGAACTGTACATACCAGTCCTTTAAAACTGTCTGACCATGGCCATTATTCTGACTGTCCACAAAGGAGGAGCTGTGTCTTGGGGCTAAAGTTTAATTTAATGAATAAGCCAACATTTTTTTTTCCTTTTTGGGAGATAACACACAACATCACCACACTCAAAGTCTTTAGTGATGATAGAAGTTAGAACAGCCATTCTGAAACTGTGGCAGTTCATACTGGGTTTTACAACTTAACTATCAATTACATTTATATTCACTAATCCCCCCCCCACACACACACAAGCGCGAGCGCGCGCGCACACACACACACACACACATCAATGACAGAGGTAAAATTAACGAAATAATTAGCTTTATAGTTAGCTTTATATTATCTTTCATGATTCATATGTCCATTACCTGTATTTTATTCTTCCTCAGATTTCTTGGTGATAGACATTTTAACTGAGATATGATGACATCTCAAAATAATTTCAATTTGCATTTCCCTGATGGCTAGGGTTATTGACTACTTTTAAAATAATTATTGATCATTTGTATTTCTATTTATTTTTGAAAACTGTTTATTAGATTTATTACCCCATTTATTCAATGGCAGATTTATTTCCTTGAAATGTAATTTTTGTAATTCTTTGTAAATTTTGGGCATTAGTCCTTTGTCTGAATTAAGCTGATAAAGGTTGTTTCCATTCCATGGGAAGTCTGTGTATTCTCCTGATAGTTTTTCTGTTGTGTATAAACCTTATTTTCATGTAGCCTCATCAGTTGATTTTTGGAGCTATTTTCTGTGCTATTGGTGTCTATTCAGAAACCCCTTGACCATCTCAATATCTATTACGTTTTTATTTATGTTTATGTATTTATTATGTTTTTTCCAGACATTTCAGCATTTCTGATATTCAATTAGGGCTTTTTTTGGTCCATGTGGAGTTGACTCTTTTTTTTTTTTTTTTTTTTTTTGGATTTAATTCACCTTTTTTTTTCTGGTATAAAAACTCTATGTGGTAGCCACAGTTACAGCCTGGGTCCTCTAAATGGATACTTTGGTGTGGTTTTTCAAAAGCTAGTCAGTGCATTTCTGATAGGGAGACTCAGTGAACATAGTCATTTTACAGAGGTCAGGGGTCAGGTAATTTAGGTTTTGGAGACAGCATCAAGGGTGGCCTTGGTGAAGTTTTCCATGGTGCATCCCATAGCTGATGTGTAGCAGTCATCAATATCTGGCATGAGCAGAAGCTTCTTGGGCACAGTCAATGCTATGTCTCTGGGGCCAGGGATGAGGCACACCTGCACAGAGACACAATAGCAGCCACCTTCTGTGGTGTGGTATGGGCCTTGTTAATCTTGCTCCCCTAGTAGCATCTCCACACACAGACAATGGAAGACTTGGCCAAGATGATGGCCCATCAGATGGCAGTGGCTACCTTCTTATAGCACTTAACAAAGACCAAGATGACCATTGTAGTTCCCAAGAGTGTCAAAAGCCTTGAATCTGGTCTACTGGCCAGACCAAGACAGCTTCTGCACTGGTGGGATTTTTAGAATCTTATATTTTAGTGACATTCACAGAAAAAAAATTAATAATCTCAGATTTGTTGATGGGCAAGGAGAATAGAAAGTTCTTTTCTAGGGATGAGTTTCATTTCTTTGACCACAGCCCAACCACGAAAGTGGCCATTAAGACTAACTGCAGAGTCCTTGGAAGAAGCAGGCTCAGCCTCTCAAGTCTGCTCCACCCCCTGTCTTTCTGGCCCTTCCTTGGCAACCCTGTACCCCTGTACTGCGGCTGCACAGATGTCATCTGTCATTTGGTGTTTTGGGGGAAAGAAGGCAAATTGGTTTTTTACAAGGTGAAAGATATGAATCTAATTTCATCTTCTGCACCTAGAAATTCATCTTTACCAGCACCAATTGTCTTATGTATAAGCATTTCTTCCAATTATATTTTGCCTCCTTTGTCAAAAATTGAAGTCATCTTGATTGCTATGGAAGTGTCTCTTCAGAAGGTGTTAGTTTTTTTGAGAAAAGGAGGTATTTGTGTTATAGTCATGCTGTTGAGAAGAAGCAGAGTTAGACACAGATGGTTACAGTGAAGAGGTTCTGGTGAAGCGATTATTTATATTAAGCGTTGATATGTTGGAAGGATCAACATAGCCTTCTATTCCATTTCATTCCATTGGTTCACTTATTTTTATGGAAGTACCAGGCCCTCTTTATTACTATAGGTTTTCAGGGTAACTTGAGGTTGGGCATCACAGTACTACCAGTATTATTCTTGCTCTTCAGAATTCCTTTGGCTATTCACACATCTTTTTTTTTTTTTTTTTTTTTTTTTTGTGGTTGCATGTGAATTCTTGAATTGTCTTTTCTAAATCAGTTAAACATGATGCTGGAATTTTGATAGATATT